GTGGAGGTGGAGGGCTGCAGACGGAGGCTGCAAACCCTGGAACCCTGGGTGGTCTCTGTCAGCCTGTCTCTGGGTGTGGAGACGTCAGGAAGGGGGTCTGGAAAGGCATTTGCCTGCGTGGGGAAGAGGGAAAGGGGATGAGTCACGAGGAGCTGCCGAGTCACCTGACCGGGAGGTTCCAGCAGGCCGGAGGGACAGCCAGGGCTGGTCAGGGACTCCCCCTTGTTCTCTGCAGCCTCCAGAGAGGCTGTGCCGGACCCTGTAAACACTGCGAGGGGAAGAAAATAAAAGCCCTGAGTGAGGGGGAGGGTAAGGGCTGGACTGGGGGTGCCTGGAGGAGCAGGGCCTGTGGGTGTGCACGTGCCTGTGTGCCACTGGCCCCTGGCAGCTGCTTGGGCCCCAGCAGACAGGCCTCTGGCCCCGTGCTGCCTGGCTCAGCCTGGGAGACTCTGTTCCTAAGCTGGGCGGAGGCTCACCTGGCCCTGGGGAGGGGGGCCGGCTGTCCCGTGGGTGGAATTCCCTGAATCTGTGCTGGTTTCTGTGAGAAGGGCAGGGAGTTCAGAAAACAGTGTTGGTGTTCCCAGCGGGCTCACGGAGAGAGGCTGCTTACCCAGGGACTGGAAGGGACCCTGGAGAAGTGTTGGGTGGGAGGAGGGACTGGGCTCCGGGCTGGAGGGGACCCGTGTCCATCCCCGCCGCCCTCAGCTCTGCAGAGAGAAGCCGCTCCCTGAGGCTGTGCAGTCTCCTGTGTGTGGGTGCCTAGCGGGTGTTTCCCTCCTCAGGGAGCAGGACCAGCGCCAACACGAGGAATTCCTGCAGGAGCTGGGGAAGCTCCTGAACACCCAGAGGGCGGCTCTGAAACAGGAGCAGGAGGCGAACGCCCTGGCCGCCCAGGAGCAGGAGAGGCTGCGGCAGGAGCTTGACAGGTAACCGCCTCCGCCCCCTGCAGCGCACTCTGCCAGGTTCCATTCAGAGCAACTCACTCAGCACCCGCTGAGCTCAGCTCAAGCGAGCCTCCTGGTGATGGTGGATTTTTCCCAACCCTGTCATGGTCACGGCTGGACGGTCACAAGATAAAGGCACGCCAGCTGGTGGCCGGGATGGGAGGACTAGCGACACTGGGATGCTGCATTGTCTAGGCTGGGTGACCGCCCCTCCCACCTGATGATGGTAATGATTGTGTCGGGCGAGGGCCCCTTCATCCTCCACCACCAGCCACCCCGTGAGGGAGAGGCGCTCGGT